TTCTATTGGCCAATCATATCTTGTAAAATCACGGAATGATCTACAAAAATTAGCCAATCGGAATGAAAGCCCGCTATTCCTAATATCATGATGTGTGATATTCAATGATGCTATGATTTACCTGCCAGCTGTAATCCAAAAATTGTCATATCATTTAAAGCTTCATTAGAAATATTGCTCTCGAGATATTTGTCAAGTATGCATTTATTTGTTCTTAGAAATTTACTTTGATCTTTTATAATTTTTGCAAGAGTGGCTTCCCGAGCATATTCAGAGTGGCTTAGCTCTTTCGAACCATCTTCGGTTCTTATACAAAGATCAATCTTTCTTTTTGATTCATTTGTGACTTGTGAAACTGTTTCTCTCCTGAAGAAATTTGTATATCAATTTTCAAGATCTATAATTGATAACCGCTTCAAGTTAATAAAATACTTGCCATATCAGTCTAATATGATCTCGTTGATCTGAGAATATTATGTCTAAAATAGGGCTTGTTAAAATCATCGCATACTGAATTTCAGTATGGTTTTGTGGTCGGCCATCTTTTTTGATAAAAATATAGGGATTTTCTAGAAATAAATCAATACTAAAAAAATAAAAGTTTCAACTTCAGTGAATAGTAAAACAAAATAATTACAAAAAATATTATAACAACATATTGAAATATATTTTGGCAATTTGTCTCATTTGACTATCAATGGGTCGTTCCATTATTTTTTCTAATGCAATTCTTTGTGCCCCCAAATAATCGTATGAACTACAAAGCTAATGTATAGTATAATGAAATTTGTAAGAGTTTGGCCACTTTTGGTAGCTTTTTAACAGTAGTACAGTTTATATACATTTTCTATTTTCGTAATTAATTCTGACACTTCTCCTGTAAACTTTTCAACTTTCAAATCAATTTTTGATAATACTTCTTTCTTTAATGGTATCCAATTATCCCCGAACCAGGTCTGCATGCCTCCTTTGAACTCAGACGAAAGATCTATTATAGAAGATAGTCCCAGCCTGTACATATGTTTATAAAATTAATAAATTATAAAAGCGCCATTAATAATGGTTATTTTATTTATTTTATTACCTTATAATACTCAATATTTTTGAGTCAACTTTTTTAGCTTGTTTTGCTTCTTCGATAGCTTTTTTTGTCATAACTATAAGCTGATTTCTTACACTTTCATCATTTTCAAATTTCCATTTATAATTTTTGTTATCAGTTTTTGATCCAATAAATGAATTAAATAATATATCTGCATGTTCAATTGTATCTTCTTCATCAGAATTGTCATCTAAAGAATTTTCTTCATCTTTATCCTCATAGGCAGATGATATTCCAGAATTTAATTTGTTCTGTAAAAATTTTAGATTAACTGTAGAAACAGTAATTTTTTAATCAGAATCAAGATTTTTTTTTTTATTGCTTACATTCAACTATTCTCTCAGATGCTCCGAATCTGATTCATCAGCTAATAAATTGGTTTCATCATAATTTTTTACTTTCTGACTTTCTTCCTATGAAAATCATAAAAAAAACAAAAACATGTTCTCTGTTAACAAGATGTATATAATTATAATAACATAAAAGGTACTTGATACCTTCATAATCCCATTATTTTGTTCGTCACTTTCTTTCAAATTAAATGATGGGTCTTGGGTTGATTTTATCTGCGTACATCCAAGGTATAAGAAAAGATAGGAAAACATTTTGCGACTATTTATGAGTCTCCAATACTAACCTTCTTGACCTCCACAGGAGGAATTAAATCCGAATCTAAAGTGCTATCAAAATCACGCTTACCATCCGAGGATGTTGCCTCTACCGGCACCTTTTCCTTTGTTCCAATTGATCCAATAATAACAGCTCCACCATTGATACTTGCAACACCCAGAGAATTATTGAATACTGTTAATCGAGGATTTACGATCATTGTCCCAATTTTTGGCTATTTGATAATCAGGTCGCATTCCCTAGCACAAGACATGTTAGTAATGTTCTTAACTAGCATGGTCATAATTCACTATTCTATTTTTTTAACCCACTGGTTCGGCCCGGAGCCTTCAACTCGGACAACCCCGGAGGTCATCTTTGCCCCAATGGAGCCATTGCCAGTCAGCCCGGAGCCTTGAACATTAGATAACCCCGGAGGTCACCCATGCCCTGACAATGGCTTTGCGAAAAATTGTACACGTCAATCTGGTTATATCGACATCTTGGAAGTGTTGATATGACCAGAGTGACGTGTAATTCTAATATTATCTCTTCAACTTACCGATCTATATCTATACAGTAGTTGTTTTGCTTGTTCACAGTCTCGTCCTTCTTCATTATCAGCAATTGCTTCGAGACACTTAATATAACACTCTACTTTCCGTTCAAGAGGTTCTAGAACACACTCATCTAAGAATCCTAAAATATTCCATTTGGACCCTTGCTCAAAGTACTTATGATCGGTGTATTTGTGCATCTATTTTAAAAAGAAATCTAAATGAGCTTATATCCTTCACAAAAGGTCATAGACATAGAAATCTAAATGTTACAAGGGGAGTGAATGAACCCAATTCTCAAGCGAAGGAAATAAGGAACCCACCCTTTCAGAAAAATCACCTTGGCTAAAAAAGCTTATAACGGAGGTATAGGG